GGCTTTACCACAGATTGGTCCATACAGTTGTGGGGATAACACACATAATCACTACAGTAGGAATTAAGCCATCACGTAAAGTTTAACACATGCAGTCCCTACCATTAGCACTGTTCTTTAGTATTCTTGCTGTGCATATGCAAGCTAAATGACCTTAAGATTTGATGTCTCCAATGGCCCATCTAAGTACCTACAAAACCTAGTAACAAATAACATTTTTGTCCCAACTTTGCTTATGCTAAATAGCTGTGATGATCCAGTTAGAGGAGGGTGGAGGGATAAATGATTTTTAAATGTTATTTTTGCCAAGATCTGCTAATAGTACTTAGTTTCATAATTCTTGACATATGCCTGGTGAGCAGAAGAGTTTTACACAGAAAGATCAAAGTCCATAGGAGAAGTTTTATTTCAGTTTCCTTAGAATTTAGACCATCCTATAAAAAAAACATGGGATTTCTTCAAGGTAAGTAAGTAGTACTCACAACAGACCGAGACAGAGAAACTACAAAGGAAAGTTCCAATGTGTATGAACAATTCTGTTTGGAGGTAACACTGATCAGGTGGGCCAGTATAATTAAATGGTCAAGGTGACAAGGAATTAATCTGAAAGAAATCATTAAAAGAAGCAGTTCCCTGAGCTGGCTGTGTCAGAACCATCTAGAATAGTAAGTTCCCCAAGTGAACCAGACAACAAACCTGTCTGCACCTGAGAAGGCTACTAGTCTACCCAATATCCATCCTTTGCTTCTTCTTAGTAACAGAGCACTGATTTTATTGGTGGTAGTATATCCAGCTAGAAGCAACATTTCCCAGCTTCTCCTGGAAGTTGGTGTGGCCATATGACTCCTTCTGACCAGTGAATGTAAGTAGAAATTGTTGTATGTTCTTTCTGAGAAAGTTCCTTTATGGGGGATGAAGAGCTAGGTGTGGATTTTTTGTTTTCTACCCGTCCCTCCCTTTTGCTATGTGGAATTAGACTTTAAGACTCGATTTCTCTAGGAAATGTCTTAGAACATGAAGTCATCTTCAAGTCAGAAGCCACAGATGACAGATTGAAACCCCAGTGACCAGGCACTGCCATGCCAGCCCCACACGGCTTCTTCCACATTATTTCATAGGAGAGAAGGTAAAGCTGACATGTTTAGGTGCCTGTTATATACCATCAAAGCATAAACACAGTGATACTGGCATTTCCTTGGCCTTACCAGATCCCAGTAGACGACTTTCATTTTCACTCACCTCTAACTATCTCAACAACGCCACCTGGTGGCCAGTATAATATATATACTTATATAAGTATATAGCAGCAAGTCCTTTGGAAATGTTAAAAGACGGGGGAAACGCCCATCTCAGAATTAATGAAACAGGTCTTCAGTTTTTAGTTCCTCCTGCTGCCTTGGCCTACCTGAAGTCTTCCTAGTAAAGCCCCTGCTTATGAGACATACGGAAGTTGGGAGCCTCCAATACAGGAAGTTCAATGGCCACCAGGGAGTGCCGTGTGCACAGTTAGCACAGAAAGCACGCTAAGGGAAATAAATGCAAGTTCGCTCAGCTATTGCAAGCCACAGCTGGGGGAAGGCAAAGTGTCAGTGAGAACGCAGCTGTAACAACATCTGGGTGAGGGAATTTATTTATTGCAGGGTTAAGAACCTCTTGTCCTCTGCTGGACCTTAAAGAAACGGAGAGAGAGTCTGGAAATCATGGTAGCCCACTGACAAAAAACCACAGTGAGCTGCCAAGATAGTCAATGGCAATCAGAGCCTAGAAGCAGACTGGCAGTCCATCCCCTGGCACAGGCAATCCATCATTAGCTCTGGGAAGACACCTACCCTAAGTATCTAGTAAGTTCCTAGTCCTATTTTGGTTCTTCTCAATTAATTCATTTTTAAAAATTTGAGCTCTGCTGAATGAAAGGCCTTGTAGACATGGCAGGGTTTCCTCAGCATCTCAAGATCATTACAAAATGCCAGTCGGGGACCGTCAGATGCCTGGACTCCCACGTTGGTCATTTTAGGTAATTGCCATAGAAATGAACGTGGCAGGGTTGGACTCACCAACTGAAGATGAAATTATCCTGAAGTAGGATAAAGCCGTGTTGCATCCACACATTTACGCATACTGACATACAGGTAAAGGAAAGGAAATAATATTCTTCTAAAAGGAACGAGGAAAAATATTAGACTTAAAACTAGGAAGTTAATTCTGGAAGCTGTGGGTGAATATGAGCTATTTTCTGCTAGGAAAAATAGTAGTGTCTGGAGACTACTTAAGGTAAAATGAAGCCATTAGAACTTGATTTTTCTCTGCTACTAGAACTGCATGCCTGTGCCCTCTGCCACGTGACTGCAGCACCTTCTACCACACTAGTCTGACCTAGATGACCCCCAGCTGGAAGTGGGCCACCCAGCAGAGCCCAGGGTGCATCAGGGGAACCTCGTCTGCAGACCTGGGAGCCCGAGAATAACCAGCTGTGAGCCACAGTTCTTTGGTGGGTGGTTTCTCCACATCAGCATAGCTAATAGGGGTCAGCTACATCCACCAAATATGTGTTGAAATCCTGACCTCTCAAAGATGATGGTATTAGGAGAGGGGACTCTGAGAGATGTGGAAGTCCTTAAGGTGGAGCCCACATGAATGGGATTAGTGCTCTTCAAAGAGGCTCCAGAGAGCTCCCTTATCCTTCCCCTGCAGGATACCGCAGCAAGAAGGATGCTATCTATGAACCAGACACCAGATCTGCCACTGCCTTGATCTTGGACTTCTGGCCTCCAGAACTGTGAGAAATAAATTTCTGTTATTTATAAGCCCCCGAGTCTGGGGTAGTCTGGATGGGCAAAGACAGGGTCTGATTCAGTGCTCAAAAAAATGCCAGCTAGTAGTAGGCATTTTTTTTAAAGTTCGATAATACAAAAATAGAAGGACATAACCCCCAAAATTATGCATTGAAATCATTGTCGGTGTGTGATAGTAGCATCTTTAAAGTTTGCAAATTACAGAATCTTCAACTGGTATCATGAATGCCTCGATATAAGACACACTAACTGGTTTTTTGAATTGTTATCTAGGGTAATTTAAATGCAATCATGGTTTTCCATATCTTACCTTCTACCTGCAACCATAACCTCCAGTAAGTAGCAATTTTGTTTTGGGGCCTTTATGCCCTATTGCCTTTTGTTCTCCCTCATAGTTGAAGAAAATGGTCAAAAGATCAACAGGTGGAGAGAATCATATAAAGCACCTGGATTGCCCACATGCACAATGATCTACACCAAATTAGAGTTCGTTAAACTGTCTTGTTTTAATATCATGTTGTACATAGCTTCTTAACCCAGACAAACAATCTGTGCTTTTAAAAGGTAAAGATTATTTCTTAAGACTGGATGTAAACAGATTAAAGGATAAAAATTGATTCTACGTTTACTGATTAATCTTTACAGTATTTATTTGCTAAACATCTTTGCAATAAACATATCACCAACTTCCTATTTCTCTCTCTCCTCATAATGCCAGATACATGGAAGTCACTCAAAAGGATACATATTAAAATGAATAACGCAGGACACAATGCACAGCTTCAAAGGCGTTTACTATTTGGTCAAACAAGAATTTTTTTAAGTTTTTTTAAGTTGTCGGTCATAAAGTGAAATCGACATTGACAGACACGTTAAATGTTGATCTAATCTGCGTTACTGCTGTGTGACACCACCTCACGGTATGTAGGAAAATGTGATTCCTGAGATCATTGTTGGCTTTTATCCATCACTTGCCTCACTGTCAATCATCTCTCCTGAAGTGACGTGGGAGTGTGAATTGGGGTTAGGATGCTCAATTGCAGACCAGCTTTCTAGAGCAGCTAAAGGAGCAAATAGACCCTATTACCTAAAAGAGGTACAAAAATAACCATGGTGTGTGGAAGTTGTTTTCAAGGTATGCCATACAGCAAAAATGTAGACTGAACACAGAAGTCTTTTCTGATCACTCTCAGTTGTCCATAAGGGATGTGTTTTCTAGTTAATCAGTCCTTGACATTCTGCAGTCCATCTGTTATTTTTCATTTATTTAAAATATCCTCTGCTAAATAATCGTGTTTATTTTTAAAAGTAAATTGCTTAAAATTACATTCAGTTTCTTCCTACAAGCCAACATAGTCTCTCCCTTCACAACACAAACACACGGTATCCTGAAGCTGAGGAGCCCCAGCCGCACACGTTCTGCTATGTGCTATGGTGCGATTAGAGCCTAAGTCATTAAAAATAGCAAGTCTGGATTTGTGTGGGATCTGGGAGAGCTTTCACTAAGAGATAAAGTATGAGATAAAGTCTGAACTTAGTAGGGCTAACAAAAATTTACTGGTATCATAATTCACTTTTTTTTCAGAATGCTTTTTTTTAATTTTTTTTTTTAAGATTTTATTTATTTATTTGACAGAGCACAAGTAGGAGGAGCAGCAGGCAGAGGGAGAAGCAGACTCCTCACTGAGGAGGGGAGCCTGACGCGGAGCTTGATCCCAGGACCCTGGGATCATGACCTGGGTAGAAGGCAGACGCTCAACCAACTGAGTCACCCAGGAGCCCCTAGAATGGTTTTTAAAACAATCCTCCAAGCCCCTGACCGGTATATGAGGCCTTGGAATCACTTCTATCTGTGTTGTATACATGCCAATCCTCTTCTACATTTGAATGAAAAGCACTGGAACAAATTAACTGAAAGAAAACCACTCTGAAACCGCCTGAGCTTTTGAGCCTGCCATGGAGGTTTAAGTGCTTATAGGACCTAGCTTGTATTTTCTTCTGGGTTTGGGTGTCTAAATGATTATAGAATGCATGAAACATGAAGAAGTGAGTATTAACCAAAGATCCCGTATACCAGCCTTTCCGAAGGGAACCAAAAACACTTTGAAACAATTCTCACAAGTAACGGCCTATTTAACACATCTGAAACCAATAATCAGTTTTCTTGACCTACAGTTGAAAACAAAATTATATTTTAACTAAATAGGATCAGCTTAAAAATCCCTTTGGAGATGTTTTTATTTATTAAATGCCTTCATTAACAACACCATCTTTCATTTCCCATTACTCCAATTCGATTTCTCCTGCATACAAAGTAATGAGCAGAATGGCTGTGAATCCAGTTAACATTCCAGCATTCTGAATCATGAAGTAAGTAAAATCGGTTTTTCTTCCAGTTATCTTTTCTCTCAGCATATCGTTCATCTCTGGAAACTGAGAGAGAGAGAGAGAGAGAGAGAGAGAGAGACATTGTTAGATAACTGTTGCCATCTGGTGGTAAAACGTAAAACAGTCACCTAGAGATTTCTTTGGGGGAGGCAGTTAGGATTTAATTCAGATGTGTGTATGTTCAGTATAGAGAGCATTAAAGGGATATGTCGCCGTATCAGACACCAACAGGAATAAAAGTATGGAAATAGTGTTCCCCAAGTGAGTGAATCTGTGAGATGGGATTTACCTCATCTAACGCCTCCTATCTGTCTCTCTTTGTCTGTCTCTCTCCCCCCTACTCTCTATGCTCCATCCACACCATTCATTCAGGACCTCACATGCTTCCATCCTCTTTCCAGCGTCAAAATCTTCACACCTACCCAAACTGTTATCTGAACTCTTCCGCCTCCAATTTTTCAATGAGCTACACCTTTGAGGTTTCAGCTTAAATCATACTTTGTAGGAAGGCTTCCCTTAGGCCCTCCTACCTTGTATTAGATTCCCCTGACATCATCTCTCACCACATATATTGCATTTCCTCTTAGCTCACAGATTTTTTTACTTGTAATTATTTAGTCATGGAGTGTGATTTTGTTCACTGAATTTCTAGTTTCCTCTCTTTAAAGACAGAATTCCCCACAGATGCAGGGACTGTGCCTCCTTTGCTCACTCCAGTGTCTCCAGTGCCTTACAAATTGCAGGCCAGAAACTGTGGATACAGCAGAGATGCCCTTCAACAGACGAATGGATAAAGAAGATGTGGTCCATATAAACAATGAAATATTACTCAGTCATCAGAAAGGATGAATACCCAACTTTTGCATCAACATGGATGGGACTGGAAGAGATTATGTTGAGTGAAATAAGTCAAGCAGAGAAAGTCAATTATCATATGGTTTCACTTACTCATGGAGCATAAGGAATAGCATGGAGGACATTAGGAGAAGGAAGGGAAAATGAAGGGGAGGAAATCGGAGGGGGAGACGGACCATGAGAGACTGTGGACTCCGAGAAACAGAGGGTTTTAGAGGGAAAGGGGTTGGGGGGTATAGATTGGCCCAGTGACGGGTATTAAGGACGGCACGGATTGCAAGGAGCAGTGTGTGTTATACGCAAACGACGAATCGTGGAACACTCCATCAAAAATTAATGATGTACTGTATGGTGATTAACGTAACATAGTAATATAAAATTAAATAAATTCCAGGCCAGGAACATAACAGCAATCAATAGTAGCTGATTAAGTTAATTTAGAAATCACTGCATTTAATTCCTGTTCTCTTCAATTTGTTGCCTTCTGCTTGCTCTACCCTCTTATGGCTTTTAAATAAATCATGTGCTGTTATTGAAGGCTGTAACAATCTCCTTACAATGAAGGCAATTAAAACTCCAAGTTCTGTACTTAAAATCTACCCTCACTCAGTGAATAAACTCTACAGAAAAGGTTCAGTAAGATCTGTAAATGTCAGCTTTCTAAAACATATTCCAAAACAATGGGCTATATATACAATGGCACAATGTACCAAAGAACCAAAGAGGTCTCCAGAATCCCACCAATCCATGTGCCTGATTGAAGAAGCTGTTACCAGGATCAAGTGAGTGAAAGTTGTGAAACTACTCCGAAAAAAAGCAAAACTGCTGTAAGGGCATACAGCATCATTTATTAGCTATTTCCTTAGACTGAACACTTCTAATAGATTCCATTCTTATAACAGAGAAAGAAGTGATGCCCTAGCACAGATACAATATGAGACATTAATTCTGTGAAGAAAAATATAAATGCAGTGACGGTTCCCCGAGATGAAATGCTTGCTCCAATAAGGGCCTGCAAAGAGCAAGGAACAGAGCTAGACAGTTACCATTTGGAGCTAAGAATGCAGATGAAGGAAGCTAAATTACTAAATTATGTATGTAATACATATTCAGTTCCAAATGCAAAGGAAATGTTCCTTGATTTGCGTATATGGAACACATTTTCATTTTCTAGAAAGCTGTCCATGATTCATTTGAAAATGCACAGGGCACAGGACTATTGATATTCTCCCTCTTACACACATACGCGCGCACACACACACACACAAACACATAAATAAAGACGTAGACAGAGCACCAACATAAACAGATACAAATATATACTGACCCAAGTCGATGTTGTCCAATTTCAATTTACCAACTTTAGTTCAACCCAAAAGGCTCCCACTGTTTAGAACTTTGAAATAACAAAATGCTATTTGCTCTAACAAGTTATTCCCTTCTAAATGTAACATCCTCACCAAAGAGGGGGGAGAGGTCCCATGGGGACATACTATAATAGAATACAGGGTTTACCTCCCACAAAGCAAAAAACCTGGGAAAATCTCTCTACTTTAACAGAAGCACATCATTTCTTTTTCTACCAATAAGATCCTAGGTCAAAAGATCAGTGAGAATCACTTTCAAATTACTGCTAATACAAGTTGTCTGTTGAACCAAGAATGTTTCAAATTACAACAGAATTTCCACACTGTGGGAAGCAGAAGGTTACCCTTAGTCAACTCATAACCCAGATGTTTAATTCTAAATTTTAAAATTAATTTTAATTAATTTTAATTAAAATTAAAATTTTAAAAATTTCTTACCATATCCGCCAGAGAAATATAGAGGAACATGCCTCCAGCAAGGGCAAATATAATATTTGGAGCAAAATTGTTGCCCACCAAAATGCCAAAAGCTAGCCCAACATAGCAGGAACACGCCGAAAGGAAATTGAATAACAAGGCTTGCCGAGTGCTCATTCCTGCGCTGAGTAGGATCACAAAGTCCCCTAGGAAAGAAGAAAATACCAAGGGAATAGTTTTGGCTATTTTTGGATGATAAAAGATAAGTGTCAATGTCCGATCAGGGCTCCTCCATTTTGATGCATCAGTGGGATTTTTAAGAGTGTGTCGTCTAAAATGTCTCACTCCACCAAAACCAAGAAATGACTTTCACAGTATGAACAGAGCCTCTTACCTAACTCATGAGGAAACTCTTCACACAGAATCGCTATAGAAGTACTGAGTCCCTGAAGAAGAGACACGGTGCAGGAAGCCCCAATCGCCAGACCGTCAATGAAATTGTGGAGGGCGTCACTGAGTGTTATCATCCAGGCAATGGTCCCTATTTTTGACAGTTTGGGTCCCTTCAAACAGGTACATGAAGTTGACTCCGTTTTGCCATCCTGTAAAATAATAGCAAATCAATCAACAAAATAATCAACACTTTTTTCTTAGAGAGAGAAACTGAGAAAAGAGTGCGTTCGCAGGAGCTGGGGGGAAGAGGCAGAGAGCAAGAATCCCAAGCAGGCTTCAAGCCTGAGCCTGACATGGGGATTCGATCTCACTACCATGAAATCACTACCTGAGTGGAAATCAAGAGGCCCACGCCCAACCCACTGAGCCACCCAGGCGCCCCAATAACCAACATTTCTTGAAAGTCTCAGAGATACACAGAAATAAGAGGTGTGTTATGTATTAAGAAAGACAAACGGTCCCAACAGAGAATCTTTCATAGTGGTTAAGAACTCCTAATCATTTATGACAACAAAATGACAACAAAAACTTATAGTAGGGAGAAAGGAAATGAATAGGTTGACAGCCCTTGAACAAGCCACTTAAAAGACATTTTACTCTGATTTCCCCTTAAAAAAATCCTTTTGATTTGTATGAACAATTCTTATACTGCCTTCCTAAAATATAACAGATACTAACCTAAGAATTTCATTCATCTGCATACTTTAAAATAAAGGTAAATTTTTAAAAACTAAACTTGAAGACTTTTGCGTGTTACAATGTTCATGTGAAATCCATATTTAGAGCACAATGACATCAAAGAACATTTACTGCAATCCCTCCTAAGTTATCTGAGCAGGTAACCTGGGCCTCAGTTTCTTCAGTTGTGAAATGAAGATAATGTACTAAATGATTCATTTATTTCTCAATGACTTATTAAGTCTCCACTGTGTTCCAAAGTAGCGTGTCGAGTGATGAAGCTGTAACAACATGTTCCCTATCAGCTCTAAATTTCAGTGATTCTCTAAACACATTTCATGAAATATGATTAGAACAGGCTTATCTTTGCACTAACACCTCTTTCCATTTTGGAGCAATAATAAAAACAGAAAATCCTAAAACAAACCCTTTGTAAGAATTTAGATTTCCATAAAATTTACAAAATCACATAAAATCAAATACCAAATGCCAACTGAAAGCACTTTCCAGAAATCATAGAAAAGATAATCAAATGCAAATTTATTTTTAAGTAGGGAAGCAATTTGCAATTAACCAGAAAACATTTTATTCCTAATTCTCCTCCCCTCAACTCTACCTCAGCAACTAATCAACATATTTACTGAGCATCTGCAATCTGTAAAACAGGGTGCTGGATGCTATGGGGAGGGCACAGAAGTAGAAAATACAACTTCTATCTTCAAGAAGTGTATTTATATTGGAGAGACAAGATGTAAAGAATATGACTGACCATTTAAAAAATGTTCAGTACACACCCAGACGAGAAGGGCTGCCTTCCAAGCCATCATAGTGGAGGTTTGAGATTTATCCCAATGTCGTTTCATTGCTCAAAACACTTTGGCGACTCCTCTTTCAGAATGGACTAGATCTTGCCATACAGCTTTTCACTGTGTCTTTAGTGGCAAAGCTTCATCTCTGGGGAAAGTTTTTGTGTGTAGATACAACCAAAAGCCATTTGGAGCCACTAAATTCTTAAATTAACATGGAAGGAGGGAGGATTGTTATTTGTAGGGGCAGTGGTTGTAGTAATAGCAGGGGCCGTAATAGTTGTCGGAAGAGACACAGCAAAGGCATAGAGTATTTATCATGTGCCAGGCACTGCTCTAAGTCCTTGAGACATTCCACTCCTTTAGAACTATTCTGTGAATTAAGGTCTACTATTATCATCACTTTAGAGTTGAAGAAACTGAAATACAGAAACGTTGGTGAGCTTACCAAGGGATGCAAAAGAAGTAAGTCGACTATTTTTAGTAACTGTTTTACTACTCCAGACTTATGGTGGTGGGTGGACACTTACTGTACGAAATAGGCTCTGAAGACAATTCACAAGGAGAATGCCCCCTTCTCTCAAAAAAGTCTTCTAAACACTTGAAGTAATGTTGGAGTAAGTGTTCAATCTCCTTTCATTTAAAAGGTAAATCTCAGAGGCATAAAAAGAATTCCATCCAGTCTTCAAATGTGGTCTTTTTACTTTATAGTGTTAAAAGATAAGCTGAGGTAAATTTAAAACTTTAAGAGTGTATTTGAAAAAAAAATTCAAATTATGCAGTGTCAAACAGGATACGGACAGGAGCACTCCATCAACAGGAGCTCAGGAAAAGGCTTTTACAGAGAAAAGGCAGAAGCAAGGCAAGAAAATTATTGATGGGCTGTAACTTAAAGCCCAGTTGGCTTTTTGTGACCAATTGTCTTTAGGTTTCAATGTCATAACCTTGAGACGTTTACAGCTTAGATTTTGGTTTGTTTACATAGAATGCCAAGGCATCAGAGCCACCCCAGTTTAATTAATTGAACAACTGCTATATCATAAATGGACAACATAATAAACAATCATGAGTTAGTACAAGTCATATGGGTGACTTGGGTAGGAAATATCCCAGAGCAGGAAGCATTAACTGCCAAAGAAGGAACAAAAGTGGTCATGAGAAAAGCAATAGAGGAAGAGACCTTAGCTTTGCAAAATCTTACTGCCAAAGACACTTAATAAGACCAGTTGCTTTCATCTTCCAACTTGATTTACCTAATCAAATATTTATAATGTTTTTATTTACTTGTGAGGATTTAGGTAAAAGATTCAAAGACCAAATCTTGACTACCTGATGTTATATACAGAGTCTATATATATACAAACTCCTTTAATTCTGAAAAAGAAATTAAATTAATATATCAGGCATGATTCTCTTACCTCTAAGTACAGATTATTGACTTTCTTATGCTTTATAGGCTTCTGTGTCAAATGACACTTTTGGGTAGGTTAACAGCCATGTATTTTTAATACTTTTGGAACAAACATAAGTAGGCAAGCATTCACAAAGAGCTTGTTTTTAATTCACCTGACACTAAGTCACTGAGCAAAGAAAACACAAAACTTAAGTCAACCTGTAGTTAAGTTAGTGAGTATTCTTTTATTTTGTTTACTGTTGTTGTCATGGTTTGCTTACTTCTGTGCCATATAGTACATTTGAAGCTGTTTCTTTTTCTTTTTTTTTTTTTTAAGGCTCTTTCTAACCTCAGCCATGATGAGGCAATTCAATCTAGTGAAAAGACCTTAAATCTGAAACCCAGGAAGACCAAATTCTATCTTGGCTCTGACAGGAATTAACATGTAATCATCAGCAAGGCTCTTAACATCTCTCACCTTAGTTATTAATTGAAATAAAAGTCAAAGCAAAGTGCAGACTACTCAGAATGGGAGGGATGGGAAGAATATCATGGACCAAAGTTGTAAGAGTAGAGGGGAGACTAGAATCCCAATGTAAGCATAAAGGGGAAGAAGCAAAAAGGAAAAGAAAAACAAAGTACTAAGAAATCAAAATTAAGAAATCCAGTAGACTTACTGCAGAATTCTTATCTTTTTTTAATCATTTTTTTAATTTATTTTCAGCATAACAGTATTCATTGTTTTTGTACCACACCCAATGCTCCATGCAGTCCGTGCCCTCTCTAATACCCACCACCTGGTTCCCCCAACCTCCCACCCCCAACCTCTTCAAACCCTTCAGATTGTTTTTCAGAGTCCATAGTCTCTCATTGTTCACCTCCCCTTCCAATTTCCCTCAACTGCCTTCTCCTAGCTCCCATGTCCTCCATGCTATTTGTTATGCTCCACAATCTTTAAGTGAAGAGGAGGAAGACTGAAAAGAGGTGGAGGGCATAAGGGGGCAGAAAAGGAAGAACATAAGAAGAAGGTGTGGCATGACAGGGTGGGGCAGGGGGAGGAAAAGCTCTGATAAAAATAAAACCAAACCAAAAAGGAAAGGAGCAACCTACCAAAAAGCATAATAAAGATGGTAAAAAGAAGTATAAGTGACAAAAAAACATGGAAATTATATGCAATGAAATATATAAATTCTATGCCCATGAAAGAGAAATTAATGTAATATAAATAAAAATTTTAAAATGACATTTTAAGAGGCTGCAGATAAGAGGAAGGGGTGACATTTAGGGAGAGGAGCACTGAGTGCAAGCTAGCTTAATGATTAGAGGATATGTGACTTGGCATCAAATCGGCATGGGTTTGAATAATATCTCCTTAATGTGTGTGTGTCCTACAGAAAGTTACTTGGGTCCTAGCTAATCCAATAAGACAAGAAAAGGAAACAAAAGGCATGTACATTTGGGAAGAAAGAAAACTGTCTTTGTTAGCAAATGACATGACTGTTTACACAGAAAATCCAAAAGAATTAACAAAAAAAGCTCCAAGAACTAATAAGCAATTATGGCAAGGATGTACAACAAGGTTAATTACTTTTCTAAATACCAGCAATGAATAAGTGGAATTTGAGTTTTAAATCACAATATTATTTACATTGGAATCCCCCCAAAATGAAATAGATATGAATCTAACAAAATATGTACAAAGTCTGTATGAGGAAAAGCTCAAAACTGTAATAAAATAAATCAAAGAAGAACTAAATAGATGGAGAGGTATTTTATGCTTATGGATTGGAAGACTCAATATTGTCAAGATGTCAGTTCTTCCCAGTGAGACCTATTGATTCAATGCAGTCCCCATCAAAATCTCAGCAAGTTATTTTGTGGGTATTTTGTTTTTCTAAAGTTTATACGGAAAGGCAAAGACCTAGAATAGCCAACACAACATTGAAGGAATGGAACAAAGTTGGAGGACTCACATTACATGACTTAGACTTACCAGTAATAACTACAGTTATCAATACAGTGTGATAATGGTGAAATAACAGATAAACAGATCAAGAAAACAGAGAGTCCAGAAATAAACTTATAAATAATGGTCAACTCATCTTTGGCAAAGGAGCAAAGGCAGAGCAATGGAGAAAAGACAGTCTTTCACCAAATGGTGCTGGTATGAGTGGACATCCACAAAACAAACAAAACAAAATCTAGATACCTTACATCCCTCAAAAAAATTAACTCAAAATGGATCACAGACCTAAATGCAAAGGCAAAACTA